ATTAACGACAGTTTCTGGGAGTGCTTTGTTACGGACCGTGGAGTTGACCAGTCAGCTCTACTAAGCGGCGTCCTCCTAAGATTGTGGCACACCTCGCAAAAGTTAAATGCTATGAAAGGGCATTTATGTTTCAATTCATATATAGATTAGAGTGTTTCCCGAAGCTAAGTTCGTCAAAAACTAAAAAATGTCTACAGAACATTTTAAGAATACATGTTCCTTTCGTCAGTATAGGCAGGGTAAAACGTTGTTAGCAAGAACGTTCTTGATAACAACGTTTTACTTAAAAGGCTTTAACGTGAATGACTGTAGTTTTATTTGCGGTCTAACAGAAATAACAACTTTAACTACTTTACGAAACTTTAGAGTCTCATTTTTTTTAATTTCACAACTTATACGTTGCAACTTTCCACAGCTTGTAGGCTTCACGGCTTCGCCAAAATTATATAACTTGCCTAGTTTGCACGTCAACTATAGTGTCCACTCGTAATCTATCAATGAATATGTTGAAACTTGCTAAGAAGTTCCTGTGTCTTGTCCCTTGTGATCTATCAGAAGCCTCGAGGCACCACTCAACACTCGCGCTAAAATTGAATTGAACATGCAAACAAAGTGGACGAAGTGAGACGCGTGGTCTAGCGACTACACCATTGAGATAGCTACTGCAGTGCTTTGAGCAATTATTTTAAGATTCACGTTATTTACTTTGCAGGTTCATAACAATTTCATGCATGACATTCTCCATCGCTAACTGCAACTTAAATACAAACAATTGAGCCCTGGCTGACATTTCTTCCAAGCCAGCATTACTTGGCGGAGTGTTTTTTTATGTAGTTAATAAGACCATTGGTCGAAGAATCGTGTGACGTCACTGGTTCAGGGCCCTCCAACTCCGGCTGAATTGCTTTAGCAAGCTGTTTGCCTAATTCAACTCTGTAGGGGAAAAAATGCAATTATTTATTCTCCTTACCGTTCACTAAACAAAATGTCACACTAAGGAGAACTTTCCCACTTGCTATTCCTTACACGGGAGTTTTTCTGGAAACCGATGAAGCATAAACTACAGACACCAATTTCTGCTTATTTCCTCGCGTATAATTTTCGCGTTTGTATTAATTCGCTTGCTCGCCCAGTACAAAGACAAGTAAGCTACCTACCCCCACTGGTCAAAGGAGTTTATATCCCAGACTACTCCCTGACAAAATATCTTGTGTTCATACATGGCTGTAGAAAAAGAGAAGTAAGAA